GGCGAAGTTGGGGGCGAATAAAAAATAAAAACTTTCTACAATTATTTTCAATACTATTGAACTTTTCTTCTACTTCACGCTGATTTACGCAACTTTCACGGCAGCCACCAAACAGCCACAAAATCAAAAACAAAAAAAAAAACCGAGCCTCAACCAACAAATTTATGGCCACAACAGCAGCAGCCGGCTGAAATCGAAAAAAATAAAAAAGTTGAGAAAAAAGACGCTGCTCAATGGCCCACGCAACTGCAGTGCAGGCAGAAACAAAAACTAAACCCTTTAGGAAATTTGTACAGAAAAGCCACGAAAACTGGCGACTCTCGCCGCATAAATCCGTTTAAAATCGCTGGCCAGGCCAACACCGAAACTGCAACTGCACCTCCAACTTTGGGCTCCATCTTTAACTCAAACTCAAACTCGAATCCGAATCGAAAAACTGCAACACCAACGCAGAGGCCTCAAGTTAAAGTTTATTTTAAAGATTTTTTTTCGGCAAAGTGTGCGGGCGGCACAGTGGGATCCATAACTAATGGAAATGGGATGAAATCGGAGAGTTCACGGCGCTGTTGATTTTAACTTTTTAGTCTTTTTGGAAGCACTAAGCAATTAATAACTATAAGCGATGATTTATGGGTGTCAGACTTAGTTTTTCAAACCAATGCTGAAGCTAATATATACAACTTTTCACTTTCTTATTAATTTGTAATATATTCACATCTCTTTATTTTTATTAATATGCTTAAATACATCGAGTATTGATAGATTTAATAGTTAATTATTTTAAATATTAACATAACTATTCTTTTACATCATTCTATCCAATAGTATTGAATAGAAAAAGTAATTGGTTCTTAAAATGAAGAAATTAAATACGTATATAAAATACGCAATGGCTTTGTCTGGCTGCCTAGAAATTCTGCTCAGTAGTTTCACAATTCTGTAACTAGATCAGTTACCTTCCAGCTGGGTTTTCACTATCGCTTTATGGCGAAGGAATGTGTTTAGACACTCGGCATCAGATTTCCGATGCAAAAGCGAGTATGTGCGCTTTTTCAGTTCATTGGCCCCACAGTGCAAGTGTATCTGTGTGAATGGATATATATCAGATGGGATAGGATCGCAGTGGTTTTATTAATGAGCACAGACGCACGCTTAGCACGAAAAACGCCACTGGAGCGATGTGAAAACTTGTGGATTTCGATTTCGATGCGGAATCGAAGAGTTTTGTCTCAACATTATAGCCATATATATCCACAGACTAAGCCAGAAGACAAGATTAGGCCAGGCTCGAGAGCGATGGGGGCGTCATTGGCGTTGGCAGCACATCGCATATCAAAATGCCACCTCTGCGGTATCATGGCAATCATTATAATGTGAGTGGGATCGTGCCTATATTATAATGGGCATAAATATAAGCCATCCCCAATATGGGGGCGCTTGGCAAGTGTCGCACGAGCAGAACGTGCCGCCTTGGTTTTGGGGTTTCGACTCGAAGATGGAACACTGTTTTGGCCTCTTTCGATTGCTTTTGTTTTTCCGATTGTGCAAGGTTTTGATTAATAGCCCCATGGCAGTCCACCTATTTAGCTATTCCCGACCCGCAATCGGTGGAACAATCATTATCGTAAGTGTTGCCCACCAGTTGGTAAATGCTATTAATCAAACAGCTTTACATTTTATTTTGGTTCCATTTTGTTACAGCCAAACAAATTCGCGGGGAATACCATGCCGTGCCCAAAATCGACAAAAAGCAGCAATTTAATATTGCTAATGAATGAGTGGTATTGGTAGAGAAAGGTGAGTGACAGCATAACGAATGCCTCCCAACTACCGATTGCCATTGAACTTGACTTGTGAGTGGGAATCCAACTTCCTTATAGGTGGTATCATATGAATTTTATGAGCGAGATGAACGTGCCTAGTGGTTAATAAATACTGTTTATTGGGTGTTTTTGTTATTTTCATTCTTTATATTGAACTAATTATCATAAATACGTCAAATATACTTGTAATCTTGAAAAAGTTAATAAATTCAGTATTTAGTATTCAGTAATAAATTCAGTATAATAGATATGTAATCCTCTTAAAAATTAACTTCTTCATAATTGCAATACAATTATTCAATGCATATTACCTTCTATACAAAGCATTTATTTATTAATCATTTAATGGCTATCAATAATTGCTAATATGAGCTTAATTAATTCTACAACATGGCTTATAGGAAAACGATTTCCATTAAGTAACGTAGGCAATGCAATGCAAATGTAGAATTTCAATTACGGAATCAATTCACTAATCTTATCAGAGCTTCTAAAAGCTTGAGCTAATCGCCACTGAAATTATTAACGTAAAGGTCATGGAAAATATATACATACATACGTATATGAAGTAAAAATGTTAATTGAATCTTTTTCGATTCTGGCGTATGCAGAAATTATTCACCTGCAAGTCGGCACGAATGTCAAAATAATCACAGCGGCTTTTCCCAATTACATCCGAATTATTTATGCGGCCAATACTGAATTCCTATATCCAGCGGCATTTATCACGGCTGACAGTTGGGACGGCGCTCAGCTTCAACACGCCAAATTCAAAAACCGAAATCCAAAACCAAAAACCAAAACAGCCAAATCGCCGCCAGCAGCGGTCAGCGCATAAATCCGCCGACAAACTCAATCAAAAAGGCGAACTGGCCAGCCTAGCTCATTTTTTATCCGTGTGCTGCGGGTACAGGGCAAGCTGGCTATCTAAAACAGCATCTAAACGGATTTTTTATTTTAATAATAATTTAAAGTTAGAATTGGATTTCATTGATATGTTAATAAAACTATGTACATATATATCATACCTGGTGCGCTTCGTCACTAAGTAAACTGTTGTCTGCAGTGAGTGATAGTCCTGAATGATATTTTTTATTATCTTGGAAAGGTAATCATTTTGTGTTGGGAAGCCTTTTTATCGATGCTGCACCGTAGCATAAATGTTTCGTTAACCAATTTTGTCGTGAATGCAAATTTCTGTGTACACTTTTAATTAACGATAAAGGTTGTTTACAGCCGTTAGTGGTGTTGGAGTTTTTCCAGCACTTATTTGACTTTTGGGCCCGCTCGCCTGTTTACTGATTAGCGCAAAAAATCAAGGCACAAGTAAAATAATAGACGGCAAATCAAGAAATCTAATATTGAATCACGAAATCGGGCGGCAAACGAACCCGCTGCCGTATGGCTTTGTGTATAGAGTACCATACATAATTTGCTTAATGTTTACTTATGCTAATCGGGGACATTAATCAGACTTGTTAACAACATTGGGCACGAGTCGCGAGGGGTCGCCTCCGATTTCGTCCACGCCGTAAATGCCAAACAAATCAGCAGTCGCACCGAAATTACTTCATTTTTCGTAACTTAAATTGATGGATTATTAAATACGAGAGAGGGAGAGAAACATGTTCAAAAGATTACAAAAGGCCCCAAACAAAACAATCAATGTAGGAGCTTTTAGGCTGGGATGCCCAATGGCAAATCAGAGATAAGCAATAGAAGATTTAGCAGGGATCGAACTTGTCAAAGCGTTAAAAAACTTTTTATCCAGAGATATATTTATTAGACCTTAAAAATTAATTCATTAAGTTACCCACAAAAAACTTTAACACTTCCCGCTTGTAAAATATTAAGAAATATCTTATTTAGTGTCTCAAATTATTATTTAAGTTTTTTGATTTATAGATGAATGAAAAAAAACTTTTTATCTACAATGTCAAGCAGTTTCCAAGCTGCTGAAAGAAATTGTTGTTTAATTTATTATAATTTTCGTAATTGAATTGAAATTAATTGCGTAAAATCGTGTTAGCCCTCGACTTACATTATTTTAATTATACCACTAACCACTTTGGCAACAAGCTGCAGCACTAAATTTCCACATGGGCACGCTTTTGACGCACGTGCCAACGCAACAACAACAGCTACAAGCAACCACATCTGCAGAACAACAAAAATAACAGCTACGAAGCACAGTGCAAAGCGAAATGCAGCCAAACAACAAAGCAGCAACTCCAACACAAAAGAAAGTCGAACAAAGCACACACACACGCACACACAATGGCTCCAAAGGGGCTTTCAGATGAGCGGGATTTAGGGGGGGTTTTTTTCCAAAGCCGACGCACTTTTCATTTTGAAACGAGCCAAGCGGAACCAGTTTCGGAAATATAAAAAGAAATAGAGTTTTTCAACTGATGAAATGCCCATGATTTTTCCAATTCACGCCTATCGCGTTACGTGTTTATTTCATATCCACAAAGTTGGGGAAAAGCCCCATCGACCTTCCTCAGGTGGGACTTTTAAATTGTTTTTACCATTTCCGTAAAACTTAGAAATAGAAAACACCTGTACCGAATTTTTAGTGCCGAGGCATATTAAATTTTAATAATTTAACATTATGAAAAATGGTATTGCTTGAGTTAGGATCATAAGAAACCCCCATTTCGAATGGCATGCCTCGTTGCGCAGAGACAACATCATCTCTGGAGGCGATAGGAGAAGAAAGGAGAAGAAAGGGGGGCTGATTGGGGAGAGGAGAGGAGGAGGAGGAGAGTGGAGGAGAGTGGGGCTGCGAAGAGTTCGTGGAAGAGGGAAAGGTGTGGAAAGCGAAGACAAATATTACACATTTAATTATGACAAGGTGGCTCGGCTACGCCTCTGCTCCACCTCTGATCCACCTTTCCACTTCATAGGGAAATTCACTATGAAAATTCGGCTGAAACATAATTCGGTTGCTTGGCTCGCTGACTTCTGCCCCCGACACTAATGCCTTTAATGATCCAAGTTGTCGCTCAAGTTGAAAACTGCCATTAGACTCCCCATTGTCTTTGGGCCCAGACGTCAGCACTATCCATCTATCTTGATCAGTGACTGGCTGAACTCCTGTGCCCGAGTTCCCTGGGAAACATTACGTGATCTAATCGCAGAACATGAGGTTCGAGGAGTGGAAAATGTCGAGTATTAAATAATTGTGAAGTTAGGTTGGTATTTATTTAGAAATTAAATGGTAGGTATCAACTGAACTCCATGATTTAGAGATTAGAAAGTGAGCCTATAGTCGATCATTAATTTAACTTTATTTAAGCCATTCAGTTGGGCATATCGGGCCTGATAGTGCTCGCGCAGATCCCCGCGTAATCCTGGTTGAGTTCTCGCTGAATTCCCAGGATCTTCCGGTGGGCCGTGACGAAGAGCTCCATGGAGATCGCTAGATTGGCAGTCAGATTGTCCCTCACCTGTTGCACGGTGCACTGCTGGTAGATGTTGCCACTTGCAACTGTGCATGGAAGTCCATTGGCCCGACCCTCTAGCAGCTTCAGGATGTCCTGCACCTTTTTGATGCGCTCCTTGAGTACCTTCTTCTCGATGATCAGTTCCCGCTCCCGGGCGCGCTGCTCCTCCAGGTAGTTGAAGACCTCATCGGGAATGTCAGGAATGTCGGGAATGTCGGGAATGTCAGGAATGTCGGGAATGTCGGGAATGTCAGGAATGTCGGGGATGTCCTCTTCCATCAGCATTTAATTTTTACAACCTTTGAATTTTATCTAAAACCTAGTGAATTTTGTATGGTTTCTCGAAAGTGACGTTAAAAGGAAATCAAAAACTTATTTTGATATGTAATATAAAAATATATACAACATATTTTAAATAGCTTAGTTAAGGGATACAGTTTGCGTGTAATTCTCATGATTTATGTTAAATCCATACTTAGAAAAAGGCCATCATAAATTAGTTCAACATACAAGTAAGATTGTGTGGGGTTCCATTGCCCAATCTATTTGCCTAAAACCAAGAGCTGTCATTTGGTTGGACACCTTCGAATGTAACCTAATGGATTCATATTTTCCTCCATCTTCATATGCCGCTTCACACCTCCGAGTTAGCCACTATTATGATTTCATCTGGTCGAAACAAAGAAGGCCCATGAGATCTTCTGTCGAGGGTACAATGGCAATGCTAATCACATTAATAAATTATCCGCACCTCCGGTTGGAAACTCGCATCTATTGATTATGTGATCGTGTGTTCGTGTAGATGAGATATTCTATGGGTGGAATTGTTATTGTCTGATTCACGACTGGACATTTGCAGTGGCTGAACATTAATTTTTCACGACCCCCTCCCTTGATTTATTCAAATTATTTTTAATGGCCTTTTGTTGTTGACTCTGTCACTGTGCTAAATGGCAGTACAAATTCGCCGAGTTTATTGGAATTTTTTACTACTCTGCGACTATTGTGAATTAGTTGGAATTGGCTGACATCAGAGGGGCGAGGACTTGTATAAATGGTTTTTAAATGCATTTATAAATTTGTTTTGCTTGCCAAATGTTTTGAGCAAGTTCCCTGAATTTTTGCTGAGCATTTCAGTGAATGCAATTAGGTAGGTAAAGCGTTTTGATTTGTGTATGCCCAAATTGCAAGTTATGCTTGCATTTATTTATAATATTTTAAAAGGAACATAGGCTTGCTTCATTTTTGCTTGATTACTTCGTAGAAACAAATCATATCTACCATTCGTTATCTTTTCTTTAAATAATTACAATGCGTATATGAGCTGAAAGTCGGGGAGTTTCAAGTGTTCCTTGAACTTTCCCAGTTCATTTCAATGGAATTACGTCTGAACTTGCTTTATGAAACAAGTTCTCCTGGCCTCCGATTTCACATAACCAAATACACAAAAGACCACACGCGTTATGGGTGCCATTTATGACCATTTAATCCTTTGGGGCAACCCAACAATAGCCAACACCACACCAAAAACAACTGATACACCGAGCGGAAACCCAAAAAGAAAATAATAATAAAAAAGGGTGTGCATTCGTGTGGCAGGGGACATTCAGCTTGATTTATATCATCGCAGGGCGATTCATATTTCTATGGCTTTCACTGTCGCACATAAATATGATTTTTGAAGTGCGACACCCACAGCAGTGAAAATTGAACCGAAATGAAGACATTCAAATGTGAGGCAAGGTGTGCCAAACTCAAATTTATGTAAATTTCAGCTGTCCGTTTTTTCTTTTTTGTTTATAAACTTCTGTGGCTTCTGGATTAGTTAAATCCGCCACACCTCCTAAGAAACTCTTTCAATTTTTTGCTCGACCTGGCAATAAGTAGTGTAAAATCTCCGATTTGTTGAGGGCTTTTACCACGCGAAAGTTGTTTCTATTTACCTTTACACATTTGTATGGCTCTTCAGAAAATTTCTCTAATTTCGTTTTACTTGTAAGTAGAAAAACAAAACCCCGAAAAGCTACAACGTGTGTGGCCCTTGCTTTTCTTTTTTACAATCTTACAGAACTTACCTTCACTCTTTCGAGTCGTATTTTTTTTACAACTAACCCATAAATGGGTACTACAAGCGACCCATGTAAAAGTTGAGCTACTGTTCAACCGGTTGGTCTGGCAAATGCTAAAATCTGGCACAAATCTATTAGCCAGGCAGCCAAATGAAGTGTCCCCAGAAAGTAGGAGCTAGTCCACTAAAATGTAACACTCTCGATAGAATGTGGCTGAAACTGGATTAAACTTACTTTCTACTGCTTAAAGCGTATGGAGCTTCCTTGATTAGTGAACTTGTTCAACCCGATTAAAGGAAGTTCGTAATTATGCTTAAGCTCGAAGCGGAAATAGGCGCAATTATACAATTAGATTATTTACTAGAGGCCAACATAGTTTTTCTTCAGTGCTTGCTATTCTTAATGAAAGCAAATTATCATTACTTGCAAATGTACCTTTTTTCAATTGTCAATATCCGGGTGTTAAGAAAACGCTACGCCCACACTGAGCACCCACAAATCCAAAAGAACACACATTATTGAAGTTCTATAAAATAACCCACTTTATATGGGCAACCATTACTTGAGAACAAAGATAAATATTTTTACATGCTTTATGCTTTCATAGACAATTGCCTCATTCGGCACTTGAGATCGTTTAATTCGCACTTAAATAGAGATACGAATTTCGAGCTAATTTCCATTGTAACACTGACAGTTGGGGCGAAGAGCTGAAGCTGAAGCTGAAGTGAGACCATTAAGACGACGCGACACTTGCAGTTTTATACACTTAAACATAAGTACAATAAACACATATTGCATAGGCCTTAATTTGACAACTGAGAGGCATGAAATGACACCAGACAGCTCGACCAGGCCGCTCATTAATCTGTCTAAATAAAGAACGTTCCGAGCGGAATCAAGTAAAACATTTTGTGTTCATTTCGATGTTGGGGCAAAAGTTGTAAATTGATTTGCCACCAAATATGGCAGACAGTTCGCTCTAAATTTCTTGTTATTTATAAATTCGCCAAGGCAGCAGCCACGCACATAAAACAAACGCATAAAAATCATTCGTGGATCATTTGAGTAGTAAATCTAGGCGAAATATTTCCATTTTTGGGGGCGAGGAGTTCCAACATTTCCGAGCTCCAAAGTGGCCGAAATGTTTTTCTTTTTGGGCTCGCAGCATGATCGGAATATATAATTTCCAAACTGCGATCATTAGGAGCCACAGCAGGTGGAATTCGTCGAATTGAATGTTTTCATAAATTACCAATGCTAAAGCGTAACATTTGCATAGATCCCCCCATACTTCCAACATCATCTCGCTACCATCCAGTAGGAATTGTGTTAAAACTTATTCATTTTCTTTGGCACACAAAGATAATAATAAATTTGTTTTATTGCCATAAATCGAGCTCTAAATGAAATCACTGCTAAAGCTGTTTAATATGCAAATTGTTGGGTTTTGCAGCGCGAATGGGGTATTCTACCTAATGGTAGACAATTTAGGCGGTACTTTTACGAATTGATTTAAGAAAAAAATCTTTGAGAAATGCCAGTTATAATGTATTATTTGTATTTGTAAAGAGGTATACTGGAATTCCCCTAATAAAAGTGTATTCAACATTATTTATTCGCTTCATTTACAAGTTAAGCGGCCAAAAAATCACAAATTAATGACTGAGCTTTTAAGATGGTTATTCCGATCACTCGGCTGTAGCTCATTACCATATTGGCTTTATTTATTTATTTTCGACACATTATTTGTATCGATTTGAAATATTTACACAATTCCCAAATGAAAAATGTAATTCCAATTGAAATCAAACAGCTTCCAAAGACGCCGCCGCCTGTTGAACTCGAGTTGGAATATTTGGATGACCCTAGCTTATCGCCTCGTGCGATGTCATAAATTTGGTCAAAAATATAGTTTGGCTTGAGCTTGAACCTTATACGAGTCTTTGTAATAGTTTTCGACTACAGATAAGCTGATTTAATTTTCAATTCCAATTCGTGAGGGTCGCGCAATTGAATTGCTTTTTTTGTGCTAGATTTTATGTTCTGGCCTCTAATTTTTTATGGCATTTTCTTGGGTGTCAGTAAAAGAGATTTCTACGATATTTTATGGTTTTCTGCCCGTCGTGGAAAGTTGCTTAGCAAACGCGTATTCGAATTTTCATCTTTTACTGCCCCGCCCCATGATAACTTTTAATCACCCCGAAATTAACCGTGCAACACCAACGCATTTTAATTGTTTGCCAACGAGCCACAATTTATGACTCGCCTTGTGTCCCCAATAAAAATCGAATCGAATGGAAATCGAAATGCACTCGCACTGTGATTCGAGTCCCCCTTCATTGGCTTCAATTCTATTTTAAGGTCTTTTCAATTTGCATGCCCAATCGATGATCATCACATCAGCCAGCTTGATTGGTCCAGGCAGACATTCGCATTTGGACTATATTTCTCAGCTTTTGGATTCAGTTTTTATACCCGTTGCTCGTAGAGTAAAAGAGTATACTAGATTCGTATGAAAACTGTTTGGATACTTTTTTATTTTTATATTAGTCTTGCGATTTCTATCGATTTGCCGAAAAACTTTTTCCTACGCCCAATTAATTTTTACACTAAATTAAAAATTGTCCCAAGGCTGAAGTTCTAAACTCCATAACTCAACATAACTCAAAAATGAAATTTCTCGTTTGCACTTTCACTAGCTGAGTAACGGGTATCTGATAGTCAGGGAACTCGACTATAGCATTCTATCTTGTTTTTTTTATGAATTTATGCCCGGGAGTTGCATTTCATTGCTGGAAAGTGTAGACTTCCTGTGGAGCATTTTATTTATTTTCGCTTTCCCAACTGGCAACAAAGATTTTCATTTAGTTGAAACGGATTAGATTACGCGAAATATTTAATAAATTGAGTGTATGTGCGGGAACAATGATATTTTCTATTTCGTGATTCTGTCAATATAAATTCTCATGACAATTAAATAATTCATAAATATGTTGGGACCCAACGGAATATACGGGAGCAAACAACATAGAATTGCCTATATACACAGTAAAAAATGTTCTACTAATTTTATACATATCTAAATTATTAAAGGGAATATATATTCAGTAAAAAATATATTCAACAATAAATAAAACGAGTAACTTACCTATGTTTTCAGTGTTCTTATATATCAGCTCACCCCTTATCTTCTGTCAAAGCCATAATAATTCACTTTTGGTTCAAACAAATGACAAATGCAAATATTGACAAACGACCCAACTGAACCAACTGACTGTCAATCTCCCCCATACGAAAAACCTCCCTATCTCTGCACAAAATGCAGCTAAATGAAACCCTTTGTGGGCTAATAACAATATTGACAGGTGAAACCCATAAACTCGGCCGGAAAAGGAAGTCGACCGATTTAGGGATATGCCCTCGATAAGGACACTTCCCTTTTCCAAATTTTGGCCCAAGTGATGCACGGTAGCCCGTCCAGCCAAGATAGCCATGATTTCAATATTAACAAAAGAAGATACATCTAGACCTACCTGACGGAACCAGCCGATGCCACATTAACATTACAATTGTCGGTCGCAAAGTTAAGCCGTAAATTATCGGGGTTCTCGGGGAAGTGGTTTCGTCTATGGTATCACTACCAACAACATTAGCATATTTGGCCACTGTGTCTCTTCGGCCAAGACAAGAAACTCGGGCCGACAATGGCTTAGGTAGCCGTAAATTGTCATGGGCTGGCAATGTTTTGGGCCTATGCTAATGTCGACCGTTGTCTGCCCACACTTAACTCCCGGATCGGATCGGATCGGATCGAAACGGATTGGATGGATGGCATCGGTGCTCATGTCCTCATGTTTGTGTATCCCTCGGGTTCGTGCTGCGGCATAAACAAAATCGTAGGATCGTGTTGCAGTTGCATTCAAGTTGAGGTTACTGCACCTCAGGGACGGTCCATTTGATGCTTTCGTATTTGTTCTCCGGGACCAGCTGTGTTTTCACACTTACTCTCGAGTCAAGGCTGACAATGATCTGAATAGCCCAGCTTGGTATGCCGAATGCAGTTAAAAGGTCCGTGATAAAAGGCAAACCTTGGCAGGAACACTAAAAAAATAGAACAAAGCCCCACCGAGTGAGTGCGCAAAACTAATCCCGAGAAAAGTCGCCATATCTCTTTCTTGATTCGTAAATAAGAACTTTATGGTGTTGGACTTGAGATCAGTGATTCAGGTTCTGTAAATTGATGTACATATTTACTTTCTTATCATTGCTTGAAACGAACTTGTATTCCTCATCGCTGTTTTATTAAGAAAGTTATAACTTTTGCATAAGAATGCAATATAATGTTATAAATGTAGATTGCAATGGCGATTATTAGTTAGGGTTGAACATATCTATTAAATCATTTGTTTTGGCGCCATTTCTATGATTCGCTGATCAAGTTTCTTTGCTGCAGAGCCAAAGTCTCGCAAGACGGAACAGATAGGATCTGCTGATCCCTCCTCCGGAGGAATATATCACGTGTCCTCGGACCGCGACGTCGGCAATACTAATGTCAATTTGTCAGGCTACCAAATCGAGGCACAGCAAGTGCCCGTCCCACCCTCCAGTGGCTTCTGCCGCTTCCCGGAGCCGCGGATTTCGATCCCGGAGATTCTGAAGAGTCGTTCTCGTTGTCGTTGTCGCATGATATATGAGCGCCCTGCCCAGTTGAAGTTGCTGCTGCTGCTGCTGCTGCTGCCACGGTCGCTGTAGCTGCCGGAGCCGCGCCTCTCGACTCCCAAGCAGACACTGAGAGAAACTCGTTCTGCTTTTTGTGGGATGACTAGATAAATAAATTCGGTAAGCTATTTTACATACTATTCTATTCTATACTAACAAAAAGCACTCCATCAAACAATTCCTTAGATAATTCTGAAACAGATTGTTTGAATAAATAATGGAACATATATTTTAGTTTTAAAAGATATTCATCAACCTTCACACAACAAACATTTTAAAAATTTTTGAGTTTTTTTCCCCTTTCAATGTTCTACGCCACATTTTTTTTTCGAGTGCACTCTCCAAGCCGGTTATCTACGTCGGCAGCGCCGCGACTGCGACGTGGGCAGCGAATGCGCGTCGGCGTTTTAGCCTGTTCTCTCCGCTTTGCCTCTGCGTTTTTGTTTCTTTTGCGTTCGTGCTTCGTTTTCACGTTTTGTTTTCATATTATTCGTCTCCATGGTTCAGTTTCTTGCGACTCTTTGCGCGGTCAACTTCGTCGATCGGACGGGCATGCGCGTGCGTATAACTCGTATCTGAATAATCACAAGAGTAGGAAATCGAGGCAGAAGAAAAAACCCGTCTCGCTATATTCGTCGACCGTGTTGTTGGTGTCTATCTGTGTCTTTTGTCAATGTTTTTAACGCAACTCCACTCCAGGGGCAGCCAAATCGCCTTTCTTCTGAAAATTTCTTGAATATAATACGAAAATCGTATGGAAAATTGAAAATATTGTGAGTGTTGTGTGCAAAGTGAAGCTATCGGCGATCGCAGATGCGATTTAATTGTCTGAAGAATCAGAAACACGCGCATTACTCGACTCCCCTGCTTATCAGGCACATGCCGTTATTATTTAATTTACCAACTGCCTTTTACAATCTATTCGCCGCAAAAGTTGAATGGAATAAAGTTTAGTATTTTATTTTGCACGAAACGTGACGCTAAATGAAGTAAGTTTCGACTATCTCATCTGTAATCGACATTTTTTGCTGTTTACAATTCTTGTAATATTTTTTGAGGAAGTGTAAAATGTAGCCACAATAAGTTATTACTGATCTGGAGTGTATAAATCATAAGCTAGATCAGGTTTATCTGAGCTGTGTTCATGTTCATTAGTATCATAATTTCATTTGAATGGAGCCAAAATGGGTGAAATTTAATTTAAACGTATTTAGAAAACAAAATTTTGTATAACAAATTTTTAAAAAAATTTTAAATGTAAGAAGTTTGTTTAAAAGTGGAAAGTAATTAGGCTATGATCAAGAAATTGAGGAAACATTTGTGGAACGTCGATAATCAGCCAAAAATGTATTGTAGATGTATAGAACTGTAGATTTAAATCTATAACACACATTGCAACTTCCTTTCCTATCTTTGCAGCATGTTAATACTGAAACTTCCCAAAATGCCCAGCCAACTGTGGCTTCTTCTGATTCTATCGCTCTTAACCCTAGAAGGCCCACAGCCCTCGACGGGCAGTGGTTACAAGACGGATCCGAGTGCGGAGTTACTGGAAAACGATTCGCGATACATCTCATATCAAGGTGGGTTCTCGAGGTGGGGTATTATCAAAAATTACTCGAAACTGTGTCAATTGCACGGCAATCAATCAAGCTGGCCACTTGAAGCGGGTGCACCGTAAATTGGGTTGATGTCTGTCAAAGTTCTAAGTGGTTCCGAGAGTATGCACTCGATTGCGCAATGTTCGGTTCGATCAACAGGTGCCATTCCGAATACACTCATCATCTGCCCAACTGTTTGTATTTGCCCGGCGTGTCAACAATGATCTCGATTTAACCGGGTTCCCCTGACAAACCGCTTTTATGACACCCCAATACATCCGTGTATCTGGTGCTTTTAATCAGAAAAAGTTTCGTGTTTTGCATTTTGTTTAAATATTTGCTCTTTTTTGTGATTTTTGCACGGGAATGTATCTCGAAGTCCGTCTTAAAATGCGAACTCAGCTCAACGCTTTGTTGACAATGATTTCAGTTTTTGTATAGCGTTTTTTCACCTCAAGTTAAATATTAAATTTCGCAGAAACTTGTGGTTTATCCACGAAAAGTAGACACTTAAATATTGAAACATATACGTGTATGTTTCCCAAATGAATCAGTTATAAAACCTTAAAGAAAATGGGTAACATTGTAATGCTTACACTGGCAGCATTTAATAATAAATTTGCCATATGATTGCTATTAAAACTCAAGTTTGTTGCATTGCGAATGCATAATATTTGGTTATACAATTTGAATGTTATGTTTATTGGTTTTTACAACAATGTGTGCTCTTTACAGATTTAATGTCGACGGCCAAACGATTTTACGATCCCGAAACGACCTGGTACTCGGAAATGCTGTTCGACGTGGCCAGGAACCAAGTGATCGTCGGCGCCAGGTAAAAACCAGGAGCCTATTGTTATTATAGTTATTATAGATTTTGTTTCCGGCCAATTGAGTCACGGTTAAGCCGTGTACCTAGTCATTATGACTGTTTTTACTTTTCCGGTTGCGTCAAAATCCAAGATTAAAGATACCGTTTGTAGGACTTCATTTTAATTAGTCGCACCGATAAGTGGGTCATTATTTTGGGCATTGATAGCGATAACAAATGCAGAGGGAAAACACACCCGAAAATAAATCTCCACTAAGCGTTTGTTAACTTTGGGTTATCAGCAGAAAGGCATTACGTAAAATTCAACGATCCGAAGAAAATAAACAGATGCATTGCGTACGTAAAACTGATAATGTTCTTCTTCTGGTTTTTAGCGTATTACGCAAGTTACAAAAAAAAGCATAAACGAGAGTGTATAAAAATGAAAGTGCACGCACTGGTATACCAAAGAGTTTTTACATATCAACGAAGCTCCACAAAAAAAACCCTCGATGAGAACTTATCTCAAGTACCTGCTGTGGGCAAGGGAATAAATAAAGATAATTGAGTGTAAAAAAAGAATAAAAAAATTAAGAAAATAGGGAAAGGAAAAAAAACCGAAAAGGTAACCAAATAATACTGCTGGGCCGAGGGAGAAGTGGTGTACTCCATGTATTTGTTGAGCAATTTAATATACGCGCTACGAGATACAAAAGTATCTGACTCTCTAGCCGCCTTACTTGGTTCTTGTAGTTTGCTTTTCATTTACGCGTCTTGAAGTTTGTTTGTGTCTGCTTCGCATAGATATGGATGCGACACCTCTCCACCTCCGACTCCAGCGGAAAACCCGATAAGGTACACACATGGACGCATATGTCTATAGTGTCGTCATGTTGATAAACCCACCTTAACCCATTGCTGCCCGAAGGGAAGTCGTTTATCATGCTCCCTTGTCGTCAATCATTTGTCATACTTTTCAGTTTCAGTTGCCTTTTCTATTCTTTATAGTCTGCGATTTTCACTGCGAGCATAGCTCCACTCTACCATATTTTTGTTACTCTTTTATTTACCAACCTCTGAATTATGGCATAATGATAAGAGTGCGGCCCGATATAATACAAAAAAAAAACCGTTTGTAGCGAAGGGCAGTTGCTCCATATAGGGGGAATTATGGGGCTGCCTGTAAGTAGGCGGCCAGATAGGCAAGTGGGCTTTATTAACCACATAAAACGTAATTTATTTTATAATGCGTGGGCTTAGTTGATAGAGCCAACTAATCAAAGGGACTAGACGGGTTTTTAGATTGCAGCAGCCTCTGGGATTTCTTTTAACTTTTTGCCTTGAGACTGTGCCCAATACTTTGAGCCGGTCGATGAGAGATAAACTTTTATTTTGTGAAAGTCGGTGGGGCTTGATTAGATATATTTATCTAAAACATTGTCTTTATTGGCACAAGTATTACTTAGTGACTGGTAACAACATTACTACCTTTTTTCTTATTGCATGTTTGAAATTTTACGTTCTTAATTCCATTTTACAATATACACTATGGGAACATTACGTAGAATTACAGCGATCTCTTTTGGTGCGAGATAAGTGCAACCACCTTGGAGCTTTATAAATTTCAGTCCTAATCTCTAGTAAACAACCTGAGGTTAGCCATCATTCTTGTTAATGCGGTTTCGATAAGGCTTCCTTCAAATAAAATAGAAGTGTGGAGCGCACTTTGAAGACCCGCAAGTCGAAACCCACCGAATGACCCTCGAAGTTGCCGCAACGTAAACCATCTCTAATCGCAGACCGCATTTTAATTGTGGTACTCCACCCGAACACATCTAAACTACGCAATCGAACAATGGTTTTCATGATTTCTGTGGTTAAGCTCGGCAATTGCCAAAGAACTGGTAGTGGTGCTATGTATGCACGTACTATATTGTATCTGCATCTGTATCTGCATCTGTATCTGTATCTGTGCGGTGTATTTGCTGTGCAGATGTGCTGGTGAGTGCAGGCTCCTTGTATCTGGACTGCAGCACACTTGACACGACTGCAAGATCGGATTACTGCCAGCCGCCTGTTGACGGACTCTGCTCTGCTCTGCTCTGCTCTGGAAAATGGGAATGGAATCGAGAGTGGAATGGGCATGGAATCGGGACTGGAATGGGCATGGACATGGGACTCCTCGAGTCTTTTGCCCGTGTCCCATGACGAGTGACGAGGCAACTTGGTCCGTTGGTAACCGTCGCGTAATTTTCTGTCATGAACAGGAAAATGGAGCGGGATGTAGGCACACTAAGAAAAATTAAGCCCCGAAAAATGCAGTTTAGATTTTTAACTATAAGGAAGGTGCCTATTTAAAAGCGGAAGATAAAAGATATATTCTTCTCAACTCTTTGATTTATTATATTTAACTGGTATGCAGTTTTAAAAGATGTTATAACACATTTTATGTCTTGAACATCTCAGTGCATTTGGTTTTAGTGTGCCATGCAACTGGCCGAAATTTGATATAGACTGCATTAAAATAATATTGCGTTGTGTTTTCGCTTTCGTTCGCTTGCCTTCGAGCAGAAACCTTTTTTGTGAGTTTAGTTCCTACATGGCCAGTACATATTTTTATACTTGTATGTAGGTATTATTTTTCGGAGGGGTCGCCTAAGCGGTGTATTTTGTATTGTGGCCTGTCGCAAATGGAGCATGCAAATGACCTGCTGGGAAGCATTTGAAATGTTTATACATATGGCCAAGCAAAATGTTATATAAACAAGGAAATTATTTTCCTACGTTGTGCATTACCCATGCTGTTGTTTTTCCACTCGAATATCTTGGAGTGGACAATGCCTTGCCAGGGATTTTATTTCGACGGCAGTGCAGTGTCTGTACAATATGAAATATGTTGTACTCATAATTGCGCATGCTCAGCAGTACATTTTTAATATTTATACAATAAATCACTGTGATCGTTGGCTAGGAACCACCCAAACTGCCCAAATTACTTGCAACTCAATCTCCGCACTACAAGATACCAAAATGCACCTGTGACAGTCGCGTCAACTCGACGGCTACTGGAGCACACGGATGCCGAAATTGAAATCAAAATTAATCAAACCGTGTTGCACCAGCCCCTCGAAGGCAGGGGCGTATGTTGGAGGGGGCAGGGGGCATGGCGTTCTGCAAACTGTTGGCAAACATTTTGCATATTTCTATTAAAAACCTCTTGAGCGGCTCCAGACTGACACAAAGCTATTCGAACGCGGATTGAGATCGAGAGCCAGGAATGCGGTAGCGTAGGCAGAGCTCATAAAAGTGGCACAGTCAAACCTGCCTAAGAAGAAATACAGTTCTTTCCGCTTAAAAGCAATTGTAAGAATTTATATTTCTATAAGTAGAATACAAACTACAAGACATTGTAATTTCTTTTTGGAACTGCAAGTTTAGGATGAATCGTGTATACCTTTTTAGAGTTTATGTGTAATGGCATTTTAATCCCATAGTCAGGTGAAGAGTAAGCTTTAGAAGCTTGTCTGTAAGTGCTGCAGCTTTAGCCGAGATTAGTGGCGGCCAGTGCAATGGCAATTTTAATTACAAGTAACCCATTTAAGCCCGGCCAGCGAGATTTGCCGCCAGCGGAGCGGCGGACAGGACGCCCACGCACCTGGCGCACCGGCGGCCACTTGGGCAACATGTGGCATGGAGCTGCAGTATAGTTAGTCTTTGGCAAAATGACTGGCAATAGGCGACAGGCGGCGACACCGCATTTTTAATAGCCCCAGTCTCGGTCGCCGTCTCAGATCCAGCTGAATATGTATCCGTATCTGGCGTTTGAAGCCCCAACTCCCCACTTGCTCCACTTGCTCCACTGCGCTTACAAAGAGGCCTTTTTGTTATCTTGTCGCGCTTGTCGTTCAAATAAAAGTTGGCGGCGGCGCAAGGTGTGCGAAATATGCGAATTGCGAATGCTCAGGGGTGCACACACTCGACCATATCGATACGAAATGCGAAAATACTTCCCGAGACATGTAGATCATTATTGGGGTTTGTTGTGCGGACAAGTCGGTGGTGTGTTGCAAATGGGTCATGGCGAGTTTAAATGCGCTACAACTTACCCAATTTTATAGGTTTTTTGTGTTTTATTTTATCTTTAATTTCGCCTGAGCATTACAATTTTAAGCTGCGATTGTATTGATTTTCAGATTACATTTTTGCACCAAAAGGTAATGGGCCATATATTAAACTTCAACTACTTACTTCACTGAAAGCCACACTTTCAAAAGTATTATGCTTGAAATTGAAACCGTTGATCTTACAGCTTTTTTATGATCATCATATATTTTTACAATTATTTTTATATAACTTTTCATTTCCTTATTTTTACAATCACAAGAGCTATTGAGCTCTAAAAGTTAGAGTCTGTTAGAGAACATACGACATGTGAGAGTTTCTAAGAGAAGCTGGCCAGCTTTGAGCAGGTACAGAAGATACCCCATATGATGATCGATTGGGCAAACATCCGACCATTTCCATGTGCGAATTCGGCATATTTGCACGCGCGCGCTCCATTGAGATAGCGAATGGCAAAGAATAATGACAAACACAAATTAAAAACAACTAAGCAAACAAGCCAAACAGCACACAAGATTGCGACTAGAACCCCCTCGAAATGGCCATAAAAAATAGAAAACATAGAGAAAAGCGGTACATGTGTATCGCCCTTTTTTTCACACCTCAGCGGAATTTTCGCTGCCGCCAGGTGAAACGAATGATAAAATCAGGTGAGGCGGCTGATGATAAGTGCGAAGATGGTGTGCGGGGTGCGGGGCGCTTTTCGAAAGCCAATGCTAATTGACAAGGCCGTTGCTTATCGCTCACTGGGCGGTGTTTGGTTGAATCCTACGCTGAAATGAAAAGCAGCGCATTGAACTTGTCAGATACGCAAAAAATTGAATAGTTTCTGAAGAAATGAAGAATGCAGAATCGTTGTATCTTTTCTATTTGTGGCATATCTTACAGTGTAGGAATCGTGCTGAACTCACATAACGTTTCGGAATTTGCCACGCTTGTTTAAAATTAGCTGCGGCTTGCTTGGGTTTTTGAATATAAAAACAAGGTTGGAATAATGATTATTTTCTATGAAAATGAATTTCATTTTGTTTTTATACCCAAGTGCAAAGGCATCAAAAGTACGACCCAATATTTTGGTAGATATTACTTATTGCGGTGACATCTTAGGTGTTATTTGCGCTCAAAGTGATAAAACTTTAGGAAACTTGGTTTGGAGAACCTCTTCAAGTTGCTCATTTTTGATTAATTGCTTATTCTACGGACTGATAGCAGGTGCAGCTATACTCAACTTACAAAGAACTTCACACTGTGACGAGCACAATCAGCAGTAATTAATTTTCGCAGCCGTGAAGTCTAGGCGAGATTTACACACGATATGGCAGTAAATGCTTTTTGGTTTTCTTTTTTTGTTTTGCAATTGGAAAAATGCATTCCCCGGCTTTTGTTGTGTCATTTTCACATGGATATTCGAATGATTTAGTGTTGCGGTGTGTTGGTTATACGATTTCCGGTAACGCCTCACTGAAAGGCTTTGAAATGCTCCCCAAACACTTGAGCACCACCCATCGAGTGAAATATGAGCTTTTAAGGGGCTGAGAGCCCTGAGTTATAATCTTGGGTTCTAAATGCACTTTAGGTGTTATATGGGACTATAAACTTAAGCGTATTTACGAGTGGTTCTGTATAGGCATGTTTTCAGCTAACATAACCTTACAACAACTCAATCAACGGTCAATAAAGGCCAGTTCCTAGAAAAGTTGTCAATACTTCAAGGCCAATAAGTACAAGACAATTAGTAAGCAAGGTTCAAGTAATAAATGTCAGGTATAAGCTGGAAGCGTAAAGTCTGGAATATAACAAAATATACCATTAAATATACCATACCATGAAATTATTGAAACTTTAAAATATGATTAGTTAAGAATAGGTTGGAAGATTTTTTCTTGTATCATTTCAAATTAGTTTGCAGTGGGTATCTGGACAGGTCAATTAATTATCACTTAACCAAAGGCAGTAATGAAAGCCACACAATATTTGCATCTGGCAACACCTAAAAGACACCTTTTCACTTAGCCGATCCCCAATTCATTGACAGCTGCTTCCTAGGGTTCCACTTGCAATGTTTGGGAAGGGCGACGGTGTTTGCCGATGGCTGAGCTGCGTTTTCCGCAAAGGTTGGCGTGTTTATTACCTCATCACGTACCGCTTAAGACGCACCAGCATCGCGTGGAGCTCGAGTTACACCTGAGCGATAAGTGCACATATATATATACGTGCAAATACATATTTACCTGAGTTGCAACTGCACGGGGGCCGATGTGCCACGCGCCTTGCGGCAGCTGCAATCCAAATGATTGATACTGGGCGATCTGGCTGACGATCCAGTATCTGCACTGGGAAAAATGCATCTATTCAACTTTAAAATACATATAATCTGTAATCGCATTATATTTGCTTATTTTACAAGAATATAGGCAAGTGCATATAGAGCTTCTTGTGTATTTGATACGATTTGTGTGAGGCATGCTTGAAGCGATCCTAATAGCAATACTCTTTTCTCCGCGTGTACTTGCTCCGCATTCAATTTATATCCTAAGGCCGCTAAACAGCCGCAAGTGACCATTAGATGGCCGGACTGTGGGCAGTGATCTCTTTTTGGCCCGGCTCTTTGGCGACGTCTGGCCGGCGGCATTGCTTCTCAAGCCCAAGCACGGCGGCATTCTCCGATCTGTGGTCAGAGTTCTGCATTCCAAGCCCAGTCCCAATCGCCATCCAAGCCACCTCTTAGCTGGAAAAATACCGCTGTCCGGCTCGAGATGTAACCATTTAGCAATTGCTTCTCGCGCACTCCAAATGGTTGCACTTGATCTATTGATCTTCGTGTTCGTTTCGCCAAAAGCGCGTAGCACAGTGGTTGCGTTTGGAATAATTGGTAAAGTTGGCTGCGTGCAGTGGTAATTTTACAATATTTCTAAAATTTAGTGCAGAGGAGAACAACTTAAACATATATTAAATGCACGCAATTTTATGCAAAGTACTTTACGTTTGAAAAACAATATTATTTGTATCTTATGTAGTACCATACCTAAACTTATTATTTACGATATCTTAGCGACATATGTTTATTTTCTCAGCTTAAAATTTATTAGTTCTCAGCCTTGAGGGCTATCTGCCCACAATCGTTGAAATTGCCAGGCTTTTCCACGATTTTTCTTATACTAAAAACCACTGTGCCGGGCCAAGTTTTGTTACCAGTTTGCCTTGCAGTTCAATGCACTGGCGGCCAACCAGTTCAAAATTATGACAGCTGATGGTCAGGGGAGTCCAGCGGGGTGGTAGCTGGAGCTGGAGCTGGAGTCGGAGTCTGCCTTATTTGTAAACAATTGTGGGCCGCCTATCTAACTGTTATTGCTGGCCAATCGGTCGGCTTTCAACGGGCTTACACTGCAACCAAAAAGGAAACTGAATGTGGGTCCTGTATGCAATAATATCTCGCAGAAAGTCAGGTCTTACTTGGGTTACAAGGCTCCTATTAAAGATAAGAGCGTAGATCCAATAAGTATGTTATAAGGTTCCTATTAAAGATAAGGGAATTGATCCAATAAGTATGCCATATTAAGCATCTTACTATCCAGTTTTCTATTCGCCTGACTAAGTACCTGAAACATTTGAATTGCTTCCTCGCAGGGACACCCTGTACCGCATGTCGTTCGACCTGGAGCCGCTGGAGCGGGCCAGCTGGGCGGCCACGCCGTCGGAGATCGCCATGTGCCAGTTAAAAGGCCAGTCGGAGCGCTGGTGTCGCAACTATGTGCGCGTGCTCCACAGCTACGGTGAGAACCAGCTGTACGCGTGTGGGACGAACGCCTTCCAGCCGAGCTGTTCGTGGCGCCAGGTGAGTGGTCGTCCAAGTCGACCGAGTCGTGTCCAGCTCTTTGGAGTCGCCAGCCTGACGCGCCATTTACCCCAACCCTTTGGTGCTGCTTGCAGATGGACAACCTCACAGTCATCGGCGTGGACAGCGGCCTGGTCAAGTGTCCATTCCATCCGCAGGCGAACAGCACCAGCCTGCTGCAGGCCAATGGCCAACTCTTCGTGGGCATCGCCACCGACTTCTCGGGCAGCGATGTGGCCATTCTGCGCACAGGAGTGCAGTCCAATGAGGTGGGTACCTGAACTTGTCCCACACTGCGGATGAGTGATATTCGTCAATGTAATACATTCAGCACTTAAGCATAGTTTTTTGCAACCAACCAATTTAGATAAACACAAACATCAGTATTATTTAATATTCAAGCAAAATGTTTGTTTTAAAACGAATAGTTTTTGGTGAGCCCACACGGCGTATGAGTTATGTGTATCTATATGTATATATCTTATTTTGAAGTTGGACTTATAACAATAAAATAAAAGCGTAGTAAAGCCACACCCCTGCCCACACTTCTAATGGTTCTACCATCGAATTTCCAGCGTTTCCTCCGCACCAAGCAATACAATAACAACTGGCTGAGTGGAGCCCAATTCGTGGGAAGCTTCGAGGCTGGCCACTTTGTCTACTTTTTGCTGCGCGAGTCGGCCGCCGAGCACATGAGTTGTGGCAAGGTAAGTGATTGAATTGATTTCATACAAGTGTTTTGCCGAGCTAAGAGATTTGTGCCCTTTCAGGTGATATACTCCAGAATTGCTAGGGTGTGCAAAAATGATGTGGGCGGCGGTGGTCAGCTGCTACGGGACAATTGGACATCCTTCCTGAAGGCGCGTCTCAACTGCTCACTGCCTGGCGAATATCCTTACTATTTCGATGAGATCCAAGGCATGACCTACGCCGAATCCGAATCCATTCTCTATGCCACCTTCAGAACATCGGGGTATGTGTTGGTATTTGAAATGGGATTTCTTTATTCCTATAAACTATAAATTTCCTAATTGTGTATCCCATAGATCCAGCATATTCGGCTCTGCTGTGTGCGCCTACAACCTGAGCTCCATTAACGCGGCATTCGATGGACCCTTCAAGCAGCAGGAGCACGCGGATGCGGCCTGGAAGACGGTCAATACGAATCAGCGGAGTCAGTTCCAGTGCGGCACGAGTAGTATTGGTAGTAGTATTGGCCACTGGCTGGAGAGCTCGCGCTATCAGCTGATGGATGAGGCAGTGCAGCCAATCGGGGCAGCGCCTTTGTATCACTCCAAGCTGGAACAGTTCGGCCGCCTTGCGCTGGACATTGTAAACACAAAGACGGAACAGGTCCATGTGCTCTTCGTAGCCAGCAGTGGGAATCACATCAAGAAATTGGCCGTAAAGTACGGTGGCCAAGGAGTTCAGACATGTCTGGTGGAGCTGTGGCAGGCGGACGATACTGGAACCAGCAGCCTGCTGAATATGGCCTTTTTGAAGGTCAGCGGCTCACTCTATCTGGGCACCGACCTGGCCCTGACCCGGATACCCGCCCACCACTGCAGTCGCCATGTGTCGCAGTCCAGTTGCCTGAATTCCATGGATCCCTACTGCGGCTGGAACGAGCTGGTCGAGCGCTGCATGCCCCAGCCACCGGATTCCTCTGTACTGCAGCACTGGCATCAGGCGCCCCAGATCACCTGTCCTGTGCTGAATGCCCCCATCGATGGCGGCTGGTCCACCTGGAGTCCCTGGGCCGCTTGCCAGCAGCACGAGCAACCGGATAGCAACTGCCAGTGCCGACAGCGCAGCTGCAACAATCCACAGCCACAACATGGAGGCGCCACCTGCGAGGGCATCAGGTATGTGGAACTCTTAGAACTTGTTAAATAAAAGGAGAACCTATGATAAATATGAAACTCCTTTACTCCAGCACCCAAGTGACGAACTGCACGCAGCACGGAGGATGGACGGAGTGGTCAGCATGGTCGCCCTGCTCTCAGACCTGCGGCATTGCCGTGAAGATCCGGCGACGCACCTGTGGGAATCCGCGTCCGGCGTTCGGCGGGCGCACCTGTGTGGGGTCAGAGCAGTCGGAGATGTACTGCCGCCACTTGCCACCGTGTCCGGTGGCCAAGCCGCAGTCCGTGGATGGCGGATGGGGACCGTGGGGCGAGTGGAGCGAGTGCAGTGCCCAGTGCGGCGGTGGCTTCCGGATGCGTCGACGGGAGTGCAACGATCCGGCTCCACTCAACGGTGGAATGGAGTGCCCTGGGTGTCGGCTGGACTACGAGGAGTGCAACATGCAGAGCTGTCAGGAGGTGCGCAAGCTCAGTGCCTGGACACCCTGGCTAACGGTTACCGGCAGCGGAAACTCCAGTGAATCGCACACGGAGAGGCGGTTCAGGTACGTCTGTCGCGCCACCAGTCCGGATGCCAGTTCCGTCAGAGTTGGCCTGGCCAAGGAGGAGTCGCGCAATTGTCATGCTGATGGCAGCTGCCAGCGGCAGGGTGATCACGATTCCGCAGAATCCGATGCGGCGGACTGGTCCCCATGCAGCGTAAGCTGCGGTGGTGGAGTCCAGCAGCGCCATCGAGGTCGTGGAAGCCAGAGCCGGGTATGCAATATACACGCCTGTCCGGCGGATGAACAGCTGAGTGGCAATAGCCTGGACAACGAGGTGGAGCACGGCGAGTGGGGCTGCTGGTCAGAGTGGTCTGCCTGCTCGGTGACCTGCGGATTGGGACTACGCCGGAGGACACGTCGTTGCCTGGCGGGTCACGACAGGCTCTGCCAGGGTCGTGCTCTCGAGGAACAGAAGTGTGAAATGGTGCCTTGCGAAGGTGGGTCATCTAATGATTGACTTGACTCCTTCTCGCCCATGCTCAATTTCCAATTGGTTTCCCCTTAGATTTCCTGGGTTGGAGCGCCTGGAGCGAGTGGTCCAGCTGCTCCAGCGATGGCATCCGACTGAGGCATCGCCGCTGCCTGGTGGAGCAGCCCGGCTCGACGGAGTGCCGTGGTGCGGAGTTTGAGAAAACCGCCTGTGTGCCCAATGAATGCGAGGGTAAGTTTGCCTTTGTTCCATTTCAATGCAAATACATTTGCTTATCCATTGGTCATACACTTGCAGAAAGCCAAACTGCTTCAACTGCCACGCTGCCCATCGTAATCTTCGCTTGCCTGCTATTCACTGTGGCCTGCTGCCTGGCCACCTACAGATTCACCAAGAAACGATTCCTGATCAGTGCTGAGGAGGCATTGAACAAAACCACGACGACAACAGCCAGTTTCGACACCTACCCCAACCAGTATTCCAGTCTGCCCACCAAGGATGTAAGTGCAAATACTTGCGAGTATATGTAATTTAGCATGTTTCCTGGGTGAGATTGCAGTTAATGAACTCATTTGCTTGCAGTACTACGATCAGCGTCCCAAGCGGCAGTCCAGCTTCAGGATGCCGGCCAAGACGAGTAATTTGGGCAACGGCAATGGCACCCTAAACCGGAACAACATGCACCAAAATAATACGCCCAAAGTTCTGGCCAAAACCTATATCGACTGCGAATCTGGAACGATGAAACGACAATCGGCGCTGAACAATTGCCGGAGCAATATCGACGATGAGAAGTTCTAGGGAACCAGGGTTCTTCGATATCCAAAAGTGCCATCTATTGACTATGGAAATGTTACAACGAGAGACAAGTTTTATTTTTGCGCCAAAGCTATGCAGATGCAAAATGTTCCTTGACTGACTCACATTGAGTCGTTTGGTTAAGCTGATTGAGGTGGTTATCGACCTAAGTAGTTATAGCATGTAATCTGTAGCACATTAAGTTACCCTACAACTATGTTCAAAAAGTATTTCAGTTGGTTCCCAAAATTTCAGAGTTCGGAAATCCGTAAATGTATTTCTACTTTTACTTTTAGTAGTGTTGATACTGTCATTTAAAATTGTTGTATAAATCCCGTAAGCTTATGATATGGCACCACCAGCGAGACTGACCGTTTATGATTGTCTAAACAGATTTGTTAGATTTCCCAAAAGGAAGGCACGCAGCATTGCTTTAACTACATAAATTAAATATAATTATTTTCAAACCATATATTTAACTTATCATAATTTATAGAATTCGAACTGACATAGTCGATCATGTTAAGAGTAGTTCTTAAGATACGTAAATAAATAAATACAGTTTTACTAACCGACACGGTTGTTTAGATATCCATTAGAATTTCACTTGCCTTGCAAGTTTGGACCGCAAAATTAGGGTCGAGTTCCACGCTTTTCAACAAACCTACCATACCCTTTTACTCTACTAGTATAGGGTATACAAATTCTTAGCAACAGGAACCCGACATTAATGCGTAAAACACAGATGATTTCAAAAATTACCAGGAACAAAGACATACATTATAATTATCAGGAGCTCGATTCAAAACCATAACAATTTATATGAAAATAACTCCTCTTATCGTAAAACAAGAGCTCATAAGGGTCCTTAAGTTTCTTTAAGAGTCTTTAGGAATTAATAATCAGTTTGCTTCGACCATTCGACTTCATCACTTATATACTCGCGAAATGTTAAGATCAGTTGTAAATTTGTATTTTGCACTGATTCTGATTGGAGTGGCCAGGACACAGGACACGTGCTCTGTGTGCGTTCTAAAAGATGCCCCTACTCAATGCGGCTCATTTTGCCTAGCAGCTCAATATCCACTTATACAACACATGAGCAATCTAAAGATGAACTTAAAAGACCAATCTGAGGCACTTTTTAATATCCAGAACGGATTGAAAAATATCGATCGTCAGCAAAATAAACTAAAGGAATGGGTGGAAATGGAGATGAAATCGTTAAGGAACTCGTTTTCGACAAAACTAAACGAAATCGAGTGGATGATAAGATATTCTCATAAGATATAAGATATGAGATATATAAGTACGTAGTATATAGTATATACTATATACTATATGATATATATTTTCTTAATTTATACTATTCAATAAACGATCAATTACAACAACCCTCAAGATCCCCAACATTTATGTGAGGTTTCCAGAATAATTTATCAATACGGATACAAATGTAGCTAAAGTAATACAATAAATTTAGTTAGCAATAAGATAGTCGAGTTCCCCGACTATCAGATACCCGTTACTCAGCTAGTGTAAGTGCGAACGAAAAATTTCATAATTTTCTAGAAGATCGGTAATAATGGCGAATAATATTAAAAAGCGAAAAAGAAAATTTCGAAAGTGCTGGCGTGATGGGCAAATCGATAGAAATTTACTAGACTAATAAAAAAGTGAACAAATATCACATTTTCCAAAAGTGCGGCCGTAGCTGTATTGTGCGGCTTGTCAACATTTGGGAATAAACTTGCGCTGCGTCTATGTCTCTGGAAGCTGCGTGCTTAATCTCAACATTCTAGCTTTTGTAGTTCCTGAGATCGAGGCGTTCATACGGACAGACGGACAGCCGGACGGACAGACGGACATGGCCAGTTCGACAAAGATATACTTAACAATTATCAGGAGCTCGATTCAAACCCATTACAATTTATATAAAAATAACTCCTCTTATCGTAAAACAAGGGAGCTCATAAGGGTCCTAAAGTTTCTTTAAGAGTCTTTAAGAATTAATAATCAGTTTGCTTCGACCATTCGACTGCATCACTTATATACTCGCGAAATGTTAAGATCAGTTGTAAATTTGTTTTTTGCACAGATCCTGATTGGAGTGGCCAGGACACAGGACACGTGCTCTGTGTGCGTTCTAAAAGATGCCCCTACTCAATGCGGCTCATTTTGCCTAGCAGCTCAATATCCACTTATACAACACTTGAGCAATCTAAAGATGAACTTAAAAGTCCAATCTGAGGCACTTTTTAATATCAAGAACAATGTCGATCGTCAGCAGGATGAACTAAAGAAATGGATGGAAATGAAGATGGCATCGTTGGAGAACTTGTTAAGGGCAATAGATTCGCAAATCAACTTATTAAAATATCCACCAATGGATATTAATAACCAGATTGTCGAAAGGTTAAATACCAGTCCATTTATCGAAATTTAAATGAATATTCTTTTAAGATAGAGAATAAACATTAAAAATGAGAGTTACGTTTTCGTTTTTAGACCACGATCCAATTCAGCTAATACACAATCCTTTATTAGCCAGGCCAGCAACCAATGATCGTAGTTCTTTAAATGAACGTAATACACACTTTTATGGCGCCACATACCATATCGCAGTCTGTTTTTGTTCCACATGATGTCAATAATAAGCTTATTTAACGTGTATTTAATCGATATTCGATTTTAGCAATAAACGATCAATTGCAACAACCCCCAAGATCACCAAAATTTATGTGAGGTTCCCACAATAATTTATCAATACGGGGGGAGTGCTCAAATAATCTCCCAAGATTAAGGGGATTTCAGCGCAGGCCGACCATCAGAAGTCATCAGGAAGGTGTCACAAATCATTCAAACGCCAAGGGAAAGAGAACGAATAGGAGTCGCACGATGAAAGTGGAAGTGATATTAGTGTGGGCAAAGATAAATACAGGGAAAGCGAGAAATTGAAACAGTTGCTAGAAAAGATCACCCAAATTCCAGCGGCTGAGCGCAGTTCCAGCGAAGCGTTCATCTATCGTGTAATACAATCCGTGCGTAACTATAACTACTTAGTACACGGATGCATCTTGTATCTCTGATACGCGAGGTCGACGAACTTCGCTCCGTTCCGTTCTGCGCATGCGTCGCAGCCTTCGCGGGAAGTGTGTCCTCCTGTCGCTGTCATCCAATTTCAAAACATGAAAAATTAGTCCATTTCCGTCGCATAGATCCATAGATGCCAGCCCCATGTGCTCACCTCGCTCTATCCTCGGCCTCCGGGTTGAACGAACCGCAATTGTATCCAGTCCTGCGTGGCAGACTTGTTGCCCTTGCATAGGAAATCCCACCCTGTGGGCATTGAACTCCGGCTCAGGATTGCTTATTGGGTTGTGGTTGGGGTGGTTTTGGATTACAGGTACAGTCACCGCGCTAGTCTAGGCTAATTGGAGAGGAATGCACCCAGGCAGGAAATAATATGTGATCTGTGACCACTGACAGCGTTTTCTCATCAATATTACAGGTACTAATCAATATCGTTTAAATTTACAAAAATCGCTATTAAAATGAAAACTAACTGAAATACGAATGTATCTCAAAAGCTACAATTAATCATAAACAGTACTGAATAAAATATACTTATATATATAATATTTATTATATAAATATATACTTAGTTAGGGAAGCACAAATGGATACCTCGTTTTTGGGGGATCACTATTCACTCCCCCAAACACACCGAGTTAAGTCAGTGCAATTAAATGGCAACCAAGCAAGCGACACTTTGGTTTCGCTGCCAAACTCCGCTTCACCCCAACTCCCCTCTCCCACCATCCCCCTTTTCTTGGGGAAAGATGGGGCACATCCCATTAGAAAACGAGAACGCTTCGCGGGGTGCAGCGAGAACAGACGCAACGTCTGCTTTTGGTATAAGAGATGTTCAGAATTAAATGTAGCTAAAGTAAAAAAAAAAATATCATATCAGATAAAAATAAAAATACATTTTTCTGTACATTTTTGTGTACCAAATATGGTAATTTATTGTGTGTTTATGACTGTTATTCATTTTATTTTGCATGCAGCGAAATCCTATACATGATTTAAGAACTGATTGATTTGTCGAGAACTGGCTGGAAAATGTCTAAATGGACAACCCAGCTCTGGAAACGGAATCTAACAAAAGTGATGGACCGGCGCTGACTGCACGTTCTGCCCGCGACTATTTTTAGACCCGTCTTTGGCTCTCCGTCTAGTTAGCATTGGGGCAGATACACGTACATCTGAAGGCACGGATGTATCTGAGCATCTACGCATAGTATATATCCTCCTGTTGCCGAGGGCGCTGTTGCGGCTGCGCTGCCTCACTTCTGATATTCCATTGCATCCATCGGATGCAGTTGCCGCCTGCTCGGCAATCCGCTCGTTTCAATTGCATTCCAGCGCGCGTTCGGTACGGATACGGATTCGGATTCGGTTACGGCGGACACAAGATACGGATACAGCAGCGCCAATCGGATTAATTGCCACATTGGATTATCAGTGATGAAGTGAATATTGACTAATCAGTGGCACTAACCTATTTGCAAATCCTAAATCGTGATTGCATAAAGTTCCTAAAAAAATATTGATAAACACATCCACAGTGAGTTAGATCTATAAAGTGAAGGGGAAACTGCAATACCAGGATTGTTCCAACTGGAACTTCTTCAGCTAATACAAGCAAAGGAATAATAACTTCTATTAAAGGTTTGTATTAAATGTGTATATGCAAATATTGTAGCATACTTTTTTGATATGATGATATGATTTCAATATGATGGCAATTTTGATTTTGGTTATGCAAATATTGCACTTCAACCATAACAACAGCTTGAAATTGCATACAGTAACTTTTAGTTTAGTAAAACCTACTACTATTTTATAGGGAATTTTATATGAATTCTTGCTGAATAAATAACAGCTCAAGTTTTTCTGCCAAAGCCCAACATTGTAGAGTAATGAGTAATGCGCAAGTAATTCGACGTCGCCTAGTAGCTGGTGAAATGCGCAATATCTCGCCGATCTTGCGGATCGGATCCTAAAAAGGGAGCATCGCTCGGTGACCACATCCCAGAGCATTTAGGTGGAAATGTGGAAATGTCTGGAGCGGCGAGCCGAAACAAAGGCAGATGAATTTAAATTGGGAACCGACTGAAAAATGTCGCATGTTCGATGGGGCGCCCATTGGCTCGAAAATGTGTAAAAAAATAAAAGAAATAAGATGTAAACAAGACAAAAAGAGTGAAGGAAAGAAGCACAAGTTCAAGACTCTCACAGATACTCCACACGCACACAACCTCAGCCGTGGCATAGCT